GAGGGGGTCTGATGTGCTCGGCCTTGATCTGATGTCAGGGGATTCGTGTGGGGTGCAGCTCTTTCTCACCTCACCGCCCTGATTCAAGGTAAGGAGAATTTCCTTGTGGTGTGGCCCAAGTCCCCTTTTATCTCAGGGGAGATCAGTGAGGAGAGAAGTGAGTAGAGAGATAGGGACCTCCTCCCACCTAGAAAGAAAAGTGGGAGCAGAACACAACCTTTGGTCCCTGGGCTGGGACTCGGGGACCAGAAGACACAGAAAACCTTCCCCTAGAGCCGGCACTGAGTTTGGACTCTCTGGCCTCCTGAACTGGGAGAAAATAAATCTCTGTTTGTTGCAGCCACGCCCTGTGGTCTTTGGGTTCTAGCAGCACTCGATAGCTAAGCACTTCGGTTTTCCTTGGCGTGTAGAAAGACTTTGAAGAACAATCTGGATGAGTCTTAGTCCTTCCGATGCAAGTATTGAGAGGCATACTTAGTCTCCCATTGGAAACTTAAGTGAATCAGTCAGTTCACTGCACTCTTGCTTTTACTGTCAAAAAGCATTTTCATGAGTAATGATTGAATCAACATTTTTCTCCATTACCTCTTCCTCACTCTTTAACGTATTCAAAATGGGATTAGTGTCACTAAAATAAAGCCTGTCTAGAGAAAAATCAATACATCAGTTAGGGTACTTTACACTACATTGAGAAACCACAGACGCCAGTGCTAGGTGGTTATCAACTCAAAACTAAGCATTGAAACCCTTTATCTAAAATTGAAAAGACAATGGCCTGTCTGTCGCCTTGTGCTCCAGGTATGATGGGGGTGAGAGATGAGGAATGGGAAGTAGGATTAGTCGGCTGCAAAGGTGGAACTCCAGGTGAAGTTCCCACCAGAAGGTCAAGTAGAAATAGAGGTGTATGTGGATGTGGGTGCTAAACGTGCTCAGCAAACAAACGTCAGCTGTCGCATTGTACAATGTTGGAGCCCACTCAGAGACGACTCGATGGCACGACAACCACAGTGTCGTAAAGGAGTCTGAGTACTGCAGTAGGTTAGGGGTTAAACTGCTAACTGTAACGTCGGAGATTCAAATCCACCACCCGCTCCACAGGAAGCAGATGAGGCTGGATTCTCCCATTAAGCCTGGCTGTTGTTGTTAAGTGCTGTGAAGCCGCTTCCGACTCATAGCAATCCTGTATAGGGTTTCCAGGGAGCAGCTAGTGAGTCTGAACGGCCCACCTTGCGGGTGTTAGTGCGTATCCTTCAGCCCCCGCCACCAGGTTTATGGCCTCATAAATCCTATAGAGAGACATCATGAGCCTGTATCCCCTCCCAGGCAGTGGGTTTGGTTTTGGAATAACATCTAGAGCAAGCCCAACTCTGCCAAATCTCCTGGGAGCCCCCCCAGTGCCTGGCAGATTGCTGAGCTAGTATTGCTCTGGGAGACCAGAGAGGGACGCGTGTCCATCCCCAGGGCCAGGTGAGCCGTCTGAGTGGGGGCATCTGCGCTCGTAACTGAGAAAGTCAGCAGAGCTTGTGTGGGTCCTCAGCACTGGGAGGATCTGGATTCATGGAAATGAATGGCAGAGACAGCTGTCCTCTGGGACTCACCCAGGCTGGCAGGTAGAGTACTAAAACAACAGGGAAGAAGGCTTGAGGGAGTGGCTGCTTTCAGAAAGAGAGCTTGTTGTGTTGTTACATGCCGTGCACAACAGGACGAAACACTGCAGGTCCTGCCCCATCCTCCTCACGATCGGTTGACGGCTGTGTTTGAGCCTGCTGTTATACCCATTGTGTCGGTCCATCTCCATGAGGGTCTTCTACCTTTCTGCTGACCCTCCACTTCACTGAACATGATGTCCTTCTCCAGGGATTCATCCCTCCTGACAACACATCCGAAATACATGAGAGCAAGACTTGGCATCTCACTTCTAAGCAGCATTCTGGCTTTGTTGCTTCCAAACAAGGTGTTCACATAGTTAGCTTCGGGCATGCTGTCTACATGTTCTTGGAACATCTGTGAGGATGTGTATAATGAAGATTCAACGAGGGGGCCTCCACAAAGTTCATGGAAAAGTGGGAATTTAAAGATATTGAGATTTTCCTATAAACTTTATAAAGCCCCCTTGTGTATGTTTGAACGATTGCAGGTCCAAATATGGTGACAAGGTGGGGACAATTATGCTGACATATTTCTAAGCATGCTGAAGGTTTTAAAACATGGGGAGAAATGGACATATTTGCCTGGAATAGAAACTCAAAATGAATGTGGAAGAAGAGAACCGTGTATGTAAACACAGGCCCAGCCCCTAAATCAGATGCTTCTCCAAAGGGCTTGTCAAAACCTCTTCTGAGAAATTATTTTCAAAATCAATTCATGGTCAGGCCAGTTCCACCAGTAGCCTGCTGATGAATTGGTATTCTGAGAGCCCAGCAAGTTCCTTAACTTACTGATGGCATCTTTAGAAGCCTCTTCCTCTCTCCTTCCTCCTGCAGTTTTGTTCCCTTTTCTGCTGATGGGACATCATGCGCTTGTTGCGTAATCTCCTCTAACTCCCATGGAGTTGGTCTCTGCTGCTCCGTGTTTAGTAGTTTTTCCACCCCACGCTTTCTGCTTCTCTTCCGTTTATGAATGCTTTTTCTATTCTTGATTCCTTAGGAGGAACTCGAGTTTTCTTGTGCTTAGTCACCATCCTGTTGCTGTAATTAACTGTCCCAGAAAAAAAAAATCCAAAAAACCTCACAACACAGTTTCACATATTCCATTTGAGACCTATAGATCTAAAATGTTCCTTTCTCAGAACTCCTCCCCTGGGGCTCGTACCTCTTCCGTTATAGAATTCTCCTGTAAATATTACTGTCAAATTTTCAGTGGTTAGGCATTATCCTAGAGAGTGAGCTCTTGTCGTGTTATTGTCAGAAAAGCAGTGTTATACCCATGTATGAGGTAAAATACAGCGAATGTGATCAGTCCCATCTACTGAGTGCTTGTTACCTGCCAGGGGTTGTCCTAATGCACACTCATTAAATCCTCACTCTGTGGGCTGTGGTGTTGTGTGCCATTAAGTCGCTTCCGACTCACAGGGATTCTGTATTGTGGAGAAAGTGCTCTCTTGTTCTCATCCTCTGACAGAGAGGAAGGCTAGGTGCAGAGAGCTGGTATGATGTGCCCTAGCCACAGCGCTGGAAGTTGTATATGAATCTGAAAAGATAGCACCGGTTTCCATTAAACCCTAAGGCGTCTTGTCTAACTGTGCAATGCGGCTATGACAGAACAACCACAAGGGGGCACCCTTGACAAAGAGACGTGCCTTCTCTCAGACTAGACGTCTGAACTCAGAGTACCATCTGCAGGGGAAGATTGTCTGTCTCTCTGTTGGTATGGAAGAAGGTCCAGGTCTCTTTTCAACATTTGAATCCTGGTATGGCACTACAGGTTAATGCACTAGATGGCAAAATCAGTTTGGACTGCAAGGTCGGTGGTTCAGGCTCACCAGCCGCTCCTTGGAAACCCTATACAGGTTCGCTATGGGTTGGGACCAACTCAACAACACTTAACAACAACAACGCTTGCTGCACCTGCAGATCTCTGTGTGTCTGGGTATCAGTCTGTCCTTCAGTCTAGGAGATTCTCAGCACAGGGATCACTCCCAACTCTTCTTTCTTGGTGGTCGTAGGTTCCTCCCTTTCCTTGGTTCTCCTGCACTGACCTTGTTGTTATTGTTAAGTGCCTTCAATTCCAACTCATAGCAACCCTGTATAGGTTTTCTGAGGAGCAACTGGTGGGTTTGACCTGCCAACTTTGTGGTTCGCAGCCCAGTGCTGATCCTACAGTGTTACATCATAGGTCCAGACATCGCCTTAGTGGGCCTGAAGTAGGAATCAAAAATGAAGACATTCAATAATTCAGCAGAATTGCTCTTCATTTTCTGTCTTCCCAGATCATTCTTGGCATTTCCTCTGTCTCTGGACTTTTGGTAGGTTAACCCTTCAGACACCACCCAGGAACTCCTGGGACAGGGAGTCTGTTCCATTTCACAGCGCCCCATGTGACAGAGCAGAACTGCAGAGAGGGGTTCCTAGGCTTTCGAGGAGCGACTGGTGGGTTTGAAATGCTGACCTTGCGGTTGGCAGTCCATTGCTTATCCTACAGCATCACACCAGGACTCCAGTGTTGTTAAGGTTTCAAGGTGGGTTTGAACTATTGACTTTGTGGTTAGCAGTCTAGTGCTTCTCCTACATTGCTACACCTTGTTGTTGTTAAATGGCATAGAGTCGGTTGTGACCCATAGCAACCCTGCATAGGGTTTCCAAACAGCAGCTTGAACTGCCGACCTTGTGGTTCAAACTGTTAGAAATGAATCCTGATGTCGCACAAAAAGACACTTAGTAAGACTAAATTACTTCAGCAAGGCAAAATGTTGGCAGAAGTTGTGCATGCGCGTAGTTGTATAGGAAGAGGCTAGCGAGCACGCCGGGCGGGCAGTCCTCTCGGGTTTGATCCCTGATGCACAGTCTTCTCCTTACCCGTTTGGCTAATTCAAATTTCTAAAGCACGCATTCTAGGTCCCTACTCACTCCAGGAAGTAGCAAAAAGTAAAAGAAAGGTCACCCGAATACAATAAACAGGATTGCAGTGATTTTGAAGTAAAGACACTCATTCCTATAAAACCGACTTTGCAGTCCAGCGCATTCACCCACAGCACCGCACTGGGACTCTTATTGCCACCCCAGGACCCGTAATTTTAAAATAATGATGTTGTTGTTAAGTGTTGCCCAGTCCCGTTGGTTTCAACTCAGAGCCACCCTGAGTAGGATTTCCAAGGAATGTCTGGTAAGGATCATGGGAGTTCCTGGTTTGATCATGGGAATTCGCTCTCACTGTGTGTGCCTTCAGGACCATTCTGACTGTGGAGAAAGCTTCCTTGAAGGCTGTGAAAACGCCAGACCTGCTCAGCTGTGGACACGAGCCTCTAAAAACTCTTCTTTTTCGTTGTTTTCAGACTGTGAACCATGCCTTTGGTGAAGCGGAACATCGAGCCCCGGCACTTGTGCCGGGGTGCTGTGCCTGAAGGGGTCAGCAGTGAGCTGGAATGTGTGACCAACAGCGCCCTGGCTGCTATCATCCGCCAGCTGAGCAGTCTCAGTAAGTCTCCTGACTCTGAAATGAAACTTCTCGGGTGGACCCACTGGCTCCGTTCATTTTCATGGTGGGAAATGCACTTGGTTCTCTAGCTGTACAGTTGTCCAGAGGGGACCATTTTGAAGGGGGGAGTTCTGCCCCTCACCCCCCCACCTCAGGTACCCTGTGTGAAATGGATGGTTGCAAGCTCATGTGCCTTGATACATAATCTTGTATGATTCAGACTACATGCTAAAATCATCCATTCAGAGATTATTGTTGTTAGCTATCGAGTCGGTTCCGACCCATAGCAACCCTGATAGGGTTTCTGAGGAGCAGCTGGTGAGCTTGAACCACCAACCTTGCAGTCCAAACGGCTTTGCTGTGTGGCGCATTAACCCACAGCGCCACACCAGGACTCCTAGAGATTATTGTTGTGGTCATGTGCCGTGGAGTCAGATCTGACCCATAGCGACCCTGTACAGGGTTTCCGAGGCTATAAATCTTTACGGGAGTAGAAAGCCTCATCTTTCTCCCAAGGAACAGCTGGTAGTTTCGAACTGCTGACCTTGAGATTCATAGCCTGATTCGTAACCACTATGCTACCAGAGCTCATTACCAGAGATTATTAGTGCTCACCAAACATTCCTACTCTCAAAACACTGCCACATTTTAAGGGAAAATAAAAAAACTTATTGAAATGAACATAAAATAAATGGTTAATTTTAACAAATGATTACCAGTTGTTCACTCTAAAGAAATGAATTGTTGATGAAACCTCATTGACAGCAGGACTATGCCTTGAACGGAGCATTGTTCAGTGCCATCAAGCTGGTTCCAATTCATAGCAGCCCTGTATAGGGTTTCCAAAGCTGTAAATCTTTCATGGGTTCGGACCGACAACTCTGTGGTTCACAGTCCAGTGCTTACCCTACAGAGTAATAGTGCTCCCTCCTCATAGTAATGGTGCTCCCTGCCCATAGTAATGGTGCTCCCTGCCCAGAGTAACAGTGCTCCCTGCCCAGAGTAATAGTGCTCCTTGCACATAGCCAGCTCCACAGATATTTGACGATGGGATATCAGTCAAGATAAAATGGAGAATCAAGTAAAAAAAACTAGTGACACTTGCAAGATTTTAACCTACTAAAAATTTTCAAAATTACAATGCAATATTAGTGACTTCTAAATTGAGGACTCCGGGTAGGGAAGTGGGCTACGAATCAGGCTGCTAACCACAAGGTCAGCAGTTCGAATCTACCAGCTGCTCCGCAGGAGAAAGATGAAACTTTCTGCTTTAGTAAAGATATACAGCCTCAGAAACCCCCTACAGGGTCGCTGTGAGGTTGAACTGACGTGACAGCACACCCCCACCCCCACCAAATTGAGGTCAGCAGGGAGGTTGATTATTAAATATGCATCATGTGCGTATTAACTGACCCTAACTTTGGAGGGTACACACAGAAAGAGGAAAGCTGTTTTCTGTTTTGTTAAGTCTGAACATTGAAGTAAACCGTCTAAGGAACAGGCCATTGCTTTAAGTCTTAGATGTGCCTCAAAGTGCTTTCTTGTCGAAGCTTTGTGATGTTGGGTTATTTCTCCCTGAGCTGGGCACTCCTTTTCTCACTTCATCCCACTCTTTTTCGATTTCACTGGCTTCCATGGCATTTTGGTTGGCAGATTTTCACAGTTAAAAGTTTCAGAAACTCTTAATAATTAGAAAAATCTCCCATGACATTCCACTTATTGGTAAGCACAGAAGAACTAAAAAAACAAAAAACAAAAAAACCCCAAAAATTCAAGTACTTTTATTGTGTAGAAGAAACACTGTTATTAATATATGTACATATATATTTGTAAGTATATATCCAGCTGCTCTGTGGGAGAAAGATGAGGCTTTCTGTTCCCGTAAAGATTTACAGCCTCGGAAACCCTGTTCAAAGTCGCTATGGGTCAGAATCGACTCGACGGCACATAACAACAACAACAATATATATTTTTAAAGTGATACTCAGTTGACCTATTTTTCATATGCTATATCTATAATTTTGGCTAAGGTCAAAGTAAGTTGGAAACACCTTAAAATGTGTTTTAAAATAGATTTCTTCTGGAATCTAAACGAATTTCTTTTTGGCACAGGTTGTGGGTATAAGCATGTAAATTCCTGTAATTATAGGAAGAAAGTTCGTCAATTGTTGAGGGATAAAATGGTCCTGTTCGCATTCACAGATTTTTTAAAAATCAGAACAGAGAGACTTTTTAATGTAAATAACAGAAAAACAAAATTCTCAGCTTAGTTGATCAAAATATTTCTTAACCGCTGCTGGTCAATGCAGTATCAAGGAACTTCTGTGTGATTTTATCAAACGTGTTTATCAAAAAGGAGTTTTTGTTTCTCTACAAACAAATACTGTTACGCTAATAGTGAGTATGTGACAAATTGTTGCTGTTAAGTACCATGGAGTTGGTTCTGGCTCATAATGACCCTGCACAGGGTTTCTGAGGCTGTAAACTTTACAGATGCAGAAAGCCTCATCATTCTCCCATGGAACAGCTCGTAGTTTTGAACTGCCGACCTTGAGGTTAGCAGCCCGATTTGTAACCACTACACTACCAGAGTTACTTTATGTGACAAATTAGTTTGCCTAAAAAACAAAAGGGGTCAAACTGAAGATGTGCCCTGTAAACCTTCACTCAATTCACAATAAAAAGTTTCACACACACACACACACACATATGTTGTTGTTATGTGCCGTGCAGTCGGTTCCAACTCATAGCGACCCTGCACAGGGTTTCTGAGGCTGTAAATCTTTATGGGATCAGAAAGCCTCATCTTTCTCCCGTGGAACAGCTGGTAGTTTCGAACTGCTGACCTTGCGGTTCGCAGCCCAATTCATAATCACTACGCTACCAGAGCTCCATATCTATCTATCTATCTATCTATCTATCTATCTATCTATCTATCTATCTATCTATCTATCTATCTATCCATCCATCCATCCATCCTTCCATCCTCCATCCATCCTTCCTTCCTTCCTTCCTTCCTTCCTTCCTTCCTTCCTTCCTTCCTTCCTTCCTTCCTTCCATCCAGCCATCCAGCCATCCAGCCATCCATCCACGATCAACATTAACCAGCTGTCTAACTGAAAACTCAAATCTGAAGACCTAGCCTTACTTTGGATTCATCTTCACTAAGGCTGTAAAATAATTAAGAACAAAACCAAAGTTTATCTGTAAAAGTGAGAGAAAGGATTTGGTTGTCTCTTGGCTGGATCTGTTTCTCACTGATACGGCACATGATCTCTTCCTGCAGTCTGCGGCATGGTTAGCTGCAAGATTATTTTAGTTCCTGAAGTATCACAGTCTTTAGAACATCTGCTTCGTGTAGTGTCAGGCTTTCATCTGTTAGCTCCTTGTTTGGAAAGGATATCACAAGCATAAAGTCAAGAGTTGCAAATTCAGAGACTGTAAAATGAAGTGTCGGACATCCAGGATCCTGTGGGTTTTAGTGAATCTTGAATCTTTGTATTAAACGACTCCCATCTGCTAACCTGATTTGAATTTTTGTTGTTGGCACGGAATCATCAGTAAGAGCAGCTGCATTAAGTACTGACTTATCCTTCTCTTCTGGAGAGGAAGGGGTACTAATTATTTCTGGTGTAAGACTTCCAAGTTTCTGCCCTTCTCTGCTAAAAGCCTTGAATCACAGTCTGGGTTTTATGCAATTCTTGATCTCTAGGGGAATTTCTCCTTTCTTAACAGACTGATAGCATAGTGGTTACGAATTGGGCTGCGAACCACAAGGTCAGCAGTTTGAACCTACCAGCTGCTCTGCAGGAGAAAGATGAGGCTTTCTGCTCCCGTAAAGATTTACAGCCTCGGAAACCTTGTTGCATGGTCACTATGAGTCGGAACCGACTCGACGGCACTTAATAATAACAACAAACTCTCCACACTGAACATTTGTTGGGTCATTTGTAAGGTCTCAATTCTCCATCATCTAAACTGAAACCATTGCTCCACCGTTTAAGCAAAATCTGAACATCTTGCAGCTGATTTTCTCCATAGATGTATTCAGACCGCTTACAAAAGGAATTACCCAATCTGTATCCTCCTCCTTAGATTTCTCACCACCCGAAGCTCTCGTGGCTTCATTCAAAGGGACTGCTTTATCTGCCTTTGCCTCTTTGAAAAGGTCATTCACAATTTCCCCAGTTGAGGGTTGAACGATATGTAATTTGGCTAGAACCTTGGCGGTGGTGTTTGTGGGTTTATAGAGACTGCAGCTTTAGGTCCATCCATCCTCAAGGATTTGCCTTTCATTTCATCTTCATATAATCCTGCCAAGGCCAACTGCAAGTCTCGTGCTTGGGGCTGCGGCACGGAAGGCCGTCGCTCCAGCTTGCCAGGCCCCGGGTCACCGCCCTTCGCCGTCGTCTGCTGGCCGCAGCACCCTCCGTGGATTCCTGCGCTCATAGATTTTTGTAAGAATTCTCCATTGTTGTGTGCCATTGAGTCGATTCCAGCCCATGCTTTAGTCTCTTGTTTTCTTTCCTGATTTGTATTTGGCAGAAAGCGCAAGTGTTGAAAACCAACATAAACAGTTCACATTTCCATCATTAAGACAGTACACAGTGCTGTAATTCCAGGACCGTGCTGTGTGGGGCGAGTCTATGGTGCATGCTGTTCAGTCCTGTGTGAGAGAAACTGCATGTGTGCTTATATTTTATACCAAGAAACCCACCCCAAGATGTCCTCTCACTAATCTTAAACCCTGTAGGTTTGTTAGGTAATTTGGAGGGAGAGGATTCAGGTTGCTAATCATCTGGCCAAGGAAACTGAGGTACAACAGTTAAGCACTTGACTGCAACCGGAAAGTTGACAGTTTGAATCTAGCAAGAGGCTCCGTGGGAGAAAGTCCTGGTGATCCGTTCCCGTAAAGATGGCAGCCTGAGAAACTTCTTCTCTGTTACACCAGGGGGCGCTGTGAGTGGATGATGTATAAGAGTATATAGGAGTATATAGTG